AATCAGAACACCCAGTTTAAATGGTTTTATTTTAATAAAAGTTGGTGAATGTATTTATCTTACTGTAAATAACAAGTGAAAAAATTTTCAGCCTTATCAGTTGGACATTCCGGTTTTTATACTGCTTTTTTTTAATTCACTAACGCTCTAAAAATAAATATTTCAGCCGCAGTAAAGAATCAACGTTGGCGGATTTTGGTTCTTGACATCCTTTACGATCGGTTACGATGACTAGAGTACGGAGACCGGTACGATTTCGTCAACTTAGTGAGTTTGATAGGGGCCGTATAGTGGGACTTCGGGAATCTGGACTTTCTTTTCGGGCAATTGCAGTTAGAGTGCAAAGAAGTGTAGACACTGTGGTTAGGTGTTGTCGGGCATGGCTTCGAGAAGGCCATACGCAAAGAGCAAGGGGCACTGGACGCCGCCGTAGAACAACAGACCGTGAAGATCGCCGCTTAAGGGACCGTTTCTCCACTACCAGGTCCATTGCAAATGAATGGTTTGCAGAACACGGAAGACCTATTGGCATGCGAAGTGTTTACCGACGGATGAGAAGTTTTGGCTTGTTTTCATACCGGCCACACTGGGTCCTCCCTTTAACTCGAGAACACCGACGTAATCGCCTTGAGTGGTGCAGACAACGGTCACTCTGGGATCAGGAATGGAACAGTATTGTCTTTAATGACGAGTCTCGATTTTGTTTAGGCATGCACGATGGTCGTGCCAGGGTTAGAAGGCGACGTGGTGAAAGGAGGAATCCACAGTTTTTTGATGAAAGACATGTTCATCACACTGTTGGAGTTATGGTTTGGGGTGCTATAGCTTATGGTTTCAGGTCACCTTTAATCTTCATCAGAGGTAACATGAACGCGTAGCGTTATATCCACGAAGTTCTAGAACCCCATCTTTTACCCTATCTTGACACCCTGGCAGATCCAACTTTCCAACAAGATAATGCCCGACCACATGTTGCAAGAGTCACAATAGACTTCTTTCAACATAATGATGTCACAATGTTACCATGGCCACCAAGATCTCCCGACTTATCCCCAATTGAGCACGTGTGGGATATGATGGGTAGGAGATTGCTCAATTTGCAACGTCCTCCTCAGACTCTAGAAGCACTTCGAGAGGAGTTGGTGGTTGCCTGGAATGAGATACCACAGGAGCACATTGACCACCTGATCAGAAGCATGCCTAGGCGCGTTGGAGAATGCGTAGCCCATCAGAGTGCATCCACACATTATTAAAGGTCAAAGGGCTTGAAAGCAGTGCATACATTTTGAAATTTTTATCATTTACTTATTATGCTTCATTAAGTACTTATACAAAATTTTATTAAAATAAAACCATTTAAACTGGGTGTTCGGATTTATATGTCACTTAGTATAGTTTTTGAAAATCGGTTTTTTGACGTTTTCGAGGATCCTCATTTTCAGAACCGTTTTCATAGGTGTTGAATATTGGGGATTGTAGGGATCGAGGAGAAATAACACAGATGTACGTGCTACTACGATTCTGCTGGAAAAACAGCATATAAGAGCGCACTATTTCCGCGGGGCTTGGATGTGCGGGCAAGCGGCGTTACATCGCCGATTCAATTTGCCGGTCCGTGGGCACCATGCTCCCCCTCTCCCCCCACAATAGACGAAGGGGGCAGACTCATTAAACGGCCCATTACTTCGACCGGGACGAATTGCGCTTACTCGAAAGAAAAACGGCGCACGATGGCAATGGCGATAAGGCACCATGATGGCACCATCGTGCGGCCGGCAGGATTGGGACCGTTTTCAAGGTCGACTGACGCATCGATTTTTCCAAAGCTTTGAGAGCGACGAGCGTTTTTGAGAACGCGAGCGGCTACCCAGGATAGCATTAAAAAATGGCATCAGTTAAGTTGCCTCTGCAATTCACATCGACATGAACAAAATTCAGCTAGCTCACAGCCTCAGCATGCGGACCCATACAATACCCTGTATGAGCTCCATACAGGGTGTTTCAGAACGACGTACGAATACTTCAAAGGTAGGAAGTACATCCACAAATATCAAAAAAAGTTCCGATAATATGTATCCAAAGATGCTCCCCTAACGAGGTATAGGGCGATGAAGTTTTATTTACGAAATTTAAAAGAAAATATTTCTAGGGCGCGGGTAAAGATACTGAGCTATAATTTACCCAACGAACGTACGGAGTAATAAAACAAGTGACAGGGCAGCCCGATTTACACGGCACAACTACCTGCGAAACCGATAATGCGTTATCGCCAGTGGCGTGTGGGTTTTAAAATTAATTAAGGTACCATTTAATTTATTTTCACTGTATCTTCTATCTTTTCATTACTTTCAAGGTGCTATAAGGTTTATTACATTGATATATTGAATATGCTGCCCCAGTTTATGATTCGTTAACTTTACATATTTTTATATTACAAAAATAATTTTAATACATGGGAAAAATAAAGAAAAGGGCTCAAAAATTAAATTCTTTTTTAGATTGGATTCTGGATCTTTTTAATATAATACCTAATAATGGATGTACCTGCTTTCATTAGCACGTCTATTTCAACGGCTCTATCCGGATAGACTTTAAAGTGGTTTATCTCAATCATGTGTAATCCTGACCGTTTATTTCAGCAATCTACAAGTCAAACTAAAACTGATAACGTCAAAATCTTGGATAGAGGACGCCTTCGAAATTAGCGGTCAGGATTAACATAGGATTGGCATAACCTACTTTGAAGTGCATCCGGATAGAGCCGTAGAAATAAACATCGTAATTATGTAAGTATGTTTACGGATATAGGTCCTTCGTCATTATCCAGTAAATATAGAAATTACATTTATTAACCAATCGCTATCACTATCAGTATAATCTGAAGATTCATAATCGTTTCCCAAGTTAATAATCACCGGTTCAACCACTCTTTCCATACATTGGTCACTTGTCCACATTTTTTCTTCCTCCTTCTCAACATGTTCTCCAATTTTCCGGAGTTACATTTTGTTACGCGGTGTAAACAAGCTGCTTTGCATCTGCGATCTTGAAAGTTGTGTTTCGTCTGGAAACTTCGTTTTTAATTTGCGCCCAAATCAACTCGATTGGGTTAAACTCGCAATGGCAGGCGTAAAATAGTCCGACTGGTAGATTTAGCCATTTCATCGATGACATACACTTTTATTGTCCTTGACCAGATTTAAAATTTCTGCTTTGACCATATCGTTGTCAAATGGAACATTATGACTTCGTAGCCATTCCTGTAGTTCCCCTTTTATGTTTCCACAGTTTGGTGCTTTATCAATACGACTACTATGGTATGAAGCATTGTCCATAACAATGACAGCGTTCTCTTCTAGACGGCTTATACTATTTTCAAGCCATTCTTCAAATAAATTGGCATTCATATCGGCGTGGTTGTCTCCTGCTTGTTTTGATTCAAATACCAATAGTCCGTCTTCCACGAAGCCGATGTGTAAGATAATTAGCCGTTTTCCTTTCCCTGAAGGATTTTTTAATCCCGTGGAGAGACCTTCCAGAAAGGCTTGCCGAGGATGCTGAACTGATCAATCCACCTATACTTTACTAACAGTGTGCCCTGCATTGAGCCAAGTCTCATCTAGGTAGTATATCTTCCTGCCTTCTTCTCTATACTTCCAGTTTTCGCGTAAGTATCTACGTCTCCAACATATTATCTCGCCGTTTTCTTTCAAGATGCTATTTCCCTTGCTTCCTAAAAAACTAAAAATTATCTTAAATCTATAAATTCGTTAATTCAATGAACCATACTACAGGAATAATGAATTTTAGGTGCAGTGGCGTAGCGTGCATTGGCGGGGCCCCGTATAAAAAATTGTTTGGGGGCCCTTATATTCTTTGGGGGTAAAGATTTTTCACAAAAGAAAAAAAATATTGTGAAAAGAAATATTTATTTATCATAACATAATTTAACCATTTTACAAATAAAAATCAAATTTTAAACATTCATTCTCCTTGCCTTTTTTTCGGCAAACTGATTTATTAAATCATTTATGGCTGATGATGATTTTAGTTTTTCTAAAGTTTCTACCTCTATGGACAATAGTGAGAGATCTGACAGCCGTTCTTGTCCCATCGAAGTTCTTAAGTAATTTTTTATCAGTTTTAATTTTGAAAAACTTCTTTCAGCAGTTGCGGTTGTAACTGGAAGGGTCAAGAATAAAAAGCATGCTGTGATTACCTCGGGAAAACTAGATGCAAGACTATTGAATTTTACTAGCAATAATTCAATGAGTTCTTTAATGGAATAAATTTTTTGAATTTCAGATTTTAAACATGTTTTTAGAGCCTTTAATTGGTCACAAAGATTAACTGAGATGTCTTTACTGTATTTAACGGACAGTTTTCCGGAAGCGATTAATATCTCTTCGTTTGAAGAAGATAGGAGTTTCTCCGGTTGTAATATTTCGAACATACATACTCAGATCGCAAAGGCTCTGAAATCTTTCTTTAGTTTGAGAAATTAATATATCTAAACAGCGATAGTATACATTGACTTTGAAATAGGATTCCGGGTCGGAAATTCTCTCATCTTGTGATAACTCATCAAAAAAACGCTTCGTTATCTTTCGCCTACTGTTTTTAAAAACAGTTGTTACCCCCCACTCTTTTGCTAAATCTTTGGACTCATTTAGCAAACTATTAAATGAAATCTGATTTCTTAATTGGCACAGTCTATTTAAAAGATTACTTAATAAAATACTAGATTTCTGTAAGTCATTATTTTCATGCTGTAGAGCTTTAGAAATAGGATTAATAATTTCAAATAGTGAAGAAAAAAATGTAACGAGCACTAAGAAATCATAACTCTCTAAAATATTAATTATATTTTTACATTCTTCACGTTCATCTTTTTTATTTGAAATTAAATTTAGTTGGTACAAAGTTTTCATGATTAGTAAAAAATTTTTCTTTACCGCTAATAAAGCGTCGTTCCTAGAAGACCATCTGGTTGGACATACCTTTTTAAGGGTAATCAAATATTTTTCAGACGGATCGTCACTTAGCATAGCCCAGCGTTTTATACTATTGCCAAAAAAAGTATATACTTTTTCTAAATTATCGAAAAAAGTCGATATTTCACGAACGTGTCTCGCAACATCGTTTAAAACTAAGTTTAAAGCGTGCGCAGCACAATGAACATAATCGGCATTTGGAGCATGCTCTTTTATTAGGGTTTGTAATCCTCCATAAATACCCGACATAACATTTGCTCCATCGTAACCCTGTCCTCTACATTTAGTCAAATCAATTCCATATTCTTTAGTCAAATTTAAAAAGGCAGTTTTCAGACCTGCAGCACTGCAATCGGTTACTGCTACTCGTATAAATCCTAAAAAGGACTCACAGATTTTTATTTCTTTAGGCACATTATCATCATTTTCTGTAACCGAGATATATCGAAAAACTACAGAAAGTTGGTCAATTTTTGACAAGTCTTGTGTTGTATCCAGAATTATTGTCAGAAATGGAGCTTTTTTAATTTCTGAGATAATATTGTTCCTAACGGTGGTACCAAGCAAACTAATAATTTCGTTTTGAATCGTAGGGCTTAAATAATTTATTTCGCCTTTCGGTTTTAGAAGAAGTTCTTTTAAAGTTGCATCATAGTTAGATAGCAAACGTAAAATTGCCATAAAATTTCCAGAATCAGAATCATGCCCTCTCAAAGATAGATTACAAGATGCTAAAGTAATTATAACATTAATTATACGATGCAGTACATCTCTCCAGAATGTAATTTTACTATTGATTTCACTTTGCAATAGAGTATCGATGGTATTTCCTTGCAACCAATTATTATAAGAGAGTGAGGCATTCATATGCTGCTGTGACTTTTCATGGTCAAGTATAGTTTGCGTAAAATTGCTTCTAACCGAAACACCGTTAACCCAAGCAGAGGAGTACGATTTGTTTTGACGATCTGCTAATAACCAACAGAAGTGACAGTACGGTTTGTTTAAAACGTTAGAATAACATAACCATGGTCTTACAAGTTTTATGCCTGCCTGATTGAAATATGAATAATAATAGGCCGAAAAAGGTCGGTTACTTTCTGAATCTTTTGGAAATGGTCCTTGTGGTTTAAATGGACCCAATTTAAAAATTATTTTTCGTTCGCATTCAGATAAATGGTCACCAAAATTTCCTCTATCTGATGAAATTATATTACAATCTTCAAATATATCAGAATCGTTGACTTGGTGTTCTTCAATTTCTGGATGGACATCCGATGAAGTATGTGCTTGGCTTTCTTCTATTTCCGAATGGATATTTGACGAAGAACGTGCTTCAGAAGAATCTAAAAATAAACGAGTATTTGTTAAAAAATAAATACGAATGCTTTGATACTAAACTAAAAAGAGTTATATATAAATAAATAACTTTACTAAGGGTCACAGTTAGAGAGTGTTCAGTTCAGACGCACACAGACTCTACGCGGATTGTGCTCGTATTAGTAGATACAAAATCACCTGCAGCCCGTCCGTGCGTTACATTACACCTGCGTGCTATTTGAACGCAGCGCGTAGTGTAGTGGCCATACAAAACGAGAACAACCCGAAAGCGAGTCTGCACATCTGAAGTTCTCAACACGCAATTTACGATACGATACAGACTGATAGACAAACAACAAAACAAATTGATCTTATAGATAAGTTAGAGTTTTGGTTTTTTTTTGTTTCGAGGCACGGAACCCTAAAAACAAAATTCACCCTTCGCTACAGGTAAATAATAAACCAACCACGCGTATCTAACCACGCAGATCCACATTAGCGTCGTGTAAAATAGTACTTGTGTAAATTAGTAAGTACTTCGGTTTTTCGAAGAAGTAATTTTACAAATTGTCATTTATTTTTAAACCTTATCCGTTTTAAGATTTTTGCCAAACCAATTTCATGTAAAAGTTTAATTAGTAAGGAGTCTCCAATATCTTTTTTAGATTTTTGGACCAGTAGTTGTGAAAATCGAAGGGGGGGAGACCACTTTTTGTGACGGACAGATTGACAGGCCGAAATTAAAAGATTTCCTTGTTTATCACTACGGACCCCGAATAAATGGGTTGGGTAGTACTTACCTTTCCAATCTAAATCACTCACAGTATCTTGTCTATGAAAAAATGAAGAAATTTTGGGCACTTTTTTTATAACCTCTTCCCTTTTCCGTTTACTTTTTCTTTTCTCAGCACCGCTGGGATAATCTCTTTTCCTTTCACTCATTTCTTTTACAAATCGCTACTAATATTGTTAAACCACCAGAACAATATTGTTTGTACTGAATTACAATGTAATGCACAATTACATAAAACGCGTAAATAAACACTGCACTGCACTCCGTGGTTTAACATCCAATATAGAGTATGTACGTACACGTTCGCGATATCGATTTTATTATTGAGGGATTCCCCGCTGAGTTGCAGATGAAGTAAGTAAAACGGGGAAGTCCCACAGCCCGCCATAACGATGTACAGTGTTGCCAACTTTTGAACGCACGCTTAAGGCGGTATAAAAAGTAATTGCTTTATAGAATTTTGTCATTTGTAAAATAAAATAAATTAGGAAGTTTTTATTTCTTTTTCCTTACACACTTTGGGGGCCCCCGTGGCCCGGGGGCCCCGTATAATTGATACGGCAGATACGGCGGTAGCTACGCCCCTGTTTAGGTGATCCATCTTAAGAAAATTGCAAATTTAATTTAGTCATAAAGTATAGATAAAGAATGATAAAAAACATAAAAAACCCTAAACTATTTTTGTGTGTGAAAGTTTTACGGAATTTTTTAGTTTTGTATTTTACTTTCAAGGAGAAATAAAAAACAAAATAAGTTATTTGTACAACACTTACCGAAAATTAAGTTCTTGCAATAATGTAGCCAACGTCGATCTTTTGAAGTCTGGCAAGTCATCCTCGTCGTGGTTTATTGATAACAAAATTTTGTCCATGTGGGTGGTTCGTTTCGAAAGAAAAATTCGGGGATTTTTCGTCGAATTAATGCCTTAGTTTTTTGGGAAACGTTGTCCAAACCTACTCTGGCTCTATGGTAACCTTTGGGAGGAAAAAGACTGTTGCTTCTTTTGTGCTCTGCCAAAATGTTATATATACTGCTAATTGATGCTCCTGAAAAGAAATTGATACATTTTGCATATATTATATATATACATGCATTAATAAATAATAGAAATAATTGAAAATAAGTCTTAAAAATCAAAATATGTGCAACAGAAGTAGCTATCATATTAGTGGGTAAGATATTTAACAGAAAATAACTATTATTTAGAATAATACATCAAACTACAAAGCATTTTAAACTATACCTCAAAGCTAAATCCTTACCTGATGCTCTTGAAACAAAGGCTACATGTTCTGTCTGAGTTTCATTTGGATAGCGCTCCCGAGAGCTATATAAATATTTGTAATAGTTTCCCTTTCAGAAACCGACAAAGCTCTTTTTCCCGTTTTCTTGGTAATTGGTCCTCGTCTAATAAGGCACTCAAGTCGAAATATTCTTTTAAAAGCTGTATCACAAAAATAAATGAAGCACACAAAACAAAAGAAAATTAAAAATAAATAAAATCTTGTTGCTGTGCATAGTTTAAAATAATGACATTGCACTAAACAATATATTAATCTGATAAAAATGTTGAAAATAAATTATCGATAAATCACATTACACATAGATTCAAAAGTCTTAAAACATGGCCAAAACTATGAATTTTTTTTACCAAAAAACTTCAGTTACATATTTTCGAGATCTCTGATAACGCATATGATATCCATTTGTCAAAAATCAAAATGGCGGATGCAATATGAATAGAGCATGGTTGCTCAGCTTTCGTTCGTTGTTCTAACTGAGACCAAACCTACACCATGCTGAGGAGTTGCCAGATAGCACGAAACATCTACCCATGGTTGGCAGTCTGCGGTCGGATGTGTTTGCAAAAACATGTTTGGATTGCGCTTAAATTTAGTTGTTTTTTGAGGTCGCAAATAACAAATTTAATAACGATTTTTCGAAAAACACAATGGTGCAGGTTCAATATGAATGCACTCAAATTCGAGTTTTTCATGTTTTACAAGTAGCTGGTAACAAATCTGTTGATTGCGCTCAAATTCGAGGTTTTCGTGTTTTTGGGGTCGTTGATAACGATTTTAATATTTTGACATCAAGATGGCAGAAGCTCCAATTAGCTACAGCTAAAATTACCATAGATCTCAACTAGATGACTGAAAAATATGCTACAAAAGAGAGCGAACTCTAATTGACGTTTTTTCTAAACTCTTTTTGAATTCACTAACTGACTATGAATTCACCATGAATTACATATTGTTGTCGTATGGTGTCATGTGTTGATTGACAAGTAATACAATGACATATCATAATTTTACGTAGCTTCTACTAGGCAATCTATTTTGACACATCTCAATACAGCTAATTATTTACAATGTGACACTTTAGAAACTTTTTGATTCTCGTCATTTTTACGTTTGATGCGAGAGACATCACTATAATTCCGCATGCAGAGTGGATCTAGTGTTATTAAAATATGAACTATGCATACCTATAACTGTCTTCAAAATCTTGAGTGAATCGCAGAGAAAAGACGTTGGGACTTTTGGCCAAGTTTTTTGGATTTTGAACTGTGTATCGCCACCTCTTGGGATAAGTATAGTAGACGACAACGGTATTGTATTCGTTTACATTTTTTGGCGATAGTCATAAAACGGCTGTAAAACCGGGAACCGGTGGCATGAGGACAGAGACGGATCTGAAAATTTTCAAACATTTTCTCTTGCAAGCCTGAATGAGATGACAGATGACTAAATCAATTCTCGATGTACCATCTTTGCTGTGGGAATTTCATTATGTTTATAATGATCATACACTATGTTCCTTATTTTGGAAGTTGTTGCTGTACTTAAAGGTATAGATGTCCCCTTGTCAATTCTTCTTTTTCTTAGTTTGACACCGTTACAAGTAATTTTACAAATTGTAGGATATGACACGTTAGTCAGTTCGGCTGTTCTTCTTAAGGACACTACTATTACCGCTATCACCCATTTCACGTAACAGTTCATTACAAACATTAATGCAAATCTGTTCAACATCTGCATTAACTGACAGACACTTTCTTCTAGAAATACTACTGTATTCCTGACTATCATTGCTGCCCTCGTTACTACTATCAGTATCATGCGCACTGACAGTACCACTGCACGAAAAGTTCTCAAGGGCGGAAAAAATCGGATCGCACGTAATTATTATTCAAGATTTCGTCCGTCAATCACTATCGTCTGTATCACAAAACATATACACTGAAGAAGGTTTAATTCCATGCTATTCAATGGCGACACGGTGACTTGTATGGTTGTCAGCAGCCATTTTTTGAGGGTGCGACATGGTTGCCAGATTGTGCATTAATATCCTGCAAACGTTGCCAGCTCTACATATAAATCTGAGACTGCTATACTTATATATATATATATAAATTTGGTGGGATATGGAAGATCGTATAACAGCATGTGTTATTAACATTTTGCGCTATCTTGACGAATAAATGCTTTTTTTTGTATGTTAAAATAGCAATGTAAATAACACAAGCTGTTATAAGATCACTCATATCTACCTACTAATCTGGAGAGATTCAGAAGAAAAACATACTGCAAATATCTAAATATATATTTGTTATATAAATCTCATACATTTTTCTACAGACAAATCAGTATTAACATCATTATGGTCCAGATGTTTTCATGTCCCAGCCTTTGTTGGCACCTGCGTAAATCAAAAATTAGAACGAAATTTAATTGTGTTGATATGTTACTACAATTCACAGGTTTCTTTTTTTATTAGAACAATAATATGATTGTCCACGGGTATTCACAGGAATTTTTCTCAATGTGCTGATCATCATCAAGAGTTAACTGTTACCACCGCTACCTGTGGGCACCCATGTTACTGTTCAAGATACTGGGCTTTGATTTCATTAAAATTACGGTAAGCTTTACATATCAACCCTACTGCTCTGACAATAGCTGATTTAAAACGAAGTATGAAAACTAACTTGGACAAAAAGCACTACAAATCATCACTAGTTATTAAGTCATATAAAAACTTACAAATGTTATGTTCTGCAAATATCCTTCAGAGTTGAGACTTTTGGTTAGATCAGAAGTAATCTCCGAGCTTCTGATAACTCTCAGGACCTCAGGGGTTGACAACAGCAGCTGTTGAACTTTTCGTGGCGCTCCACTGTTCAAAGAGTGATGAGGAGATACAAACAGGTACGATCTTCAAATATTACATTCCTAAAATGAGTAACCGCTGCATCTCTGATCTTCCTCAGGATCTGCCAGAAGCCTGGCTAATGACTTGGATCACCTTAAAAAAGAAACAAATTTGATGTGGAGTTTGTCTTATAGTATTTACAAACATAGGTATTACAGCTTTGTGTACTTACATTGTTATACTTCACAACTCCGAACAAAATGCATAAATATGGCTCAAATAACATAATAGGGACTTTACTTAATTAAAATGAAATGTTAAGAAAATGACATGCTGAATGCTGAAAAACGTAAGGTTATTTTTGCAAAGAGCTCAGGAAGAAACCCGCCGGAAATTTAAATCGCCATTTTTTGAGGGTGCGACATGGTTGTCATATTATGCACCAGCAACAATGCTTTGTTTCCTATTCGCCAATATGAGTTTCACCCCCCTGGTCTGTATAGAACTGAAGATATATTCCCGAGTACCGCTATGTTGCATCGCACTGATTCACCCGCGCGCGGGGCTCGGGAGGGGGGTGGAGGGGTTCAGGTCTTCATAGCGCAGTCACATTATGTGAATTTGTTGCTATGACAGTATCGAAGCAATGCGATTTTTCAGATTCGCTACATTCAAACCACTTGTGTCGAATTATTAGAGCTTGTTATGTTATTGCACATTGGTCAAACGTAAAATTTACACAGGTGAACCAGATTCCATTATTATTTATACCGTATCACATAATGACCGTGCTATATGGTGGATCGGTAACACAAGGAAGCAGAAAAAATGTAAGCGAATACAATGTCGTCGTATACGGTAGCACTTCCGTTATCTAGTTCTCAGTGCCTCTTGCTCAAAAAAATAAAACGCCTCCCATAAACCATTCCAACGAAATAATATTCACGAATCTCGTCCAGTCGGCTTTTTATCTAAGCTCCATCCTCTCGGAAGGACGACGACGGCGTTTTCTTAAATTGGGATAATGGTAGGGGTAGGCAGAGCCAGAGCCATCTTACCGCCACGAGCCATTAAAC